CCTCAGCAGAATAAAACACCAACTTATCCAGCACGTTTTTATGCAGCAGATGCCCTTCCAGCCGCAACCCATCTCTGGGAAACTTCCACACACTCATTCATACACACAATCATACACTACGGACAATTTAGCCTACCCAATTCACCTGTACCGCATGTCTTTTGGCCTGTGGGGGAAACTGGAACTCAAGTAAATGTGGGGAGAACTTCATTTAAGGAAACTCTTGAGGTAAATGAGTGATATATCTGAATTTTAATATTAAATCTATATTAAATGCTGTGCTTCCCAACTTCTTTATTCAGCACTAATGACTTCTGGGACTTCTCGAGCAAGTTTTGCTCTTAAGTCTGCATCAATGCGTCATCGATATCAAGAATGCATTCGGGAACTTTCATGTGTCCTCCGTTTTTGCGGTTAGGGTTAGGCAGTTGATAATGACATTACACAAGAACACAAGGTTGCTGAAGAATGTATATTGAGAAACAGAGTCTTTGTTACTTAACACACCTGATTCAGATCATCAGCTCGTTAATGTTCTGATGATCAGATCCATAAACTGATCCTTGCATGTCCAATAAGCAAACATACAAAATGTAGGACGGGGGCTCTCGAGTACCGGAATTGGGAACCACTAAATTAAACTATGTAAGTTCACACTGCAACATTTTTAAAGTTCTGGGACCCCTGTTGTTTTCACACTGCACAGTGCACAACTCTCTAGGGTAGCATTCAGTTCCTGCTGTGTTTACACTGCATGATGGATCAGTGACACGAGAATAGTGTGATCATGAAATAACTACAGATCACACATGAGATTCAAAAGTTCAATAAAAAATTCTGCAATGTGCTGCTGTGGCAAACATTTCCTTTTGGTTTCACTTTAATGTCATTGTAAAGCATATTTATTTAGGATTTATTCATCGTGGGCGGCACTGGCGCAAGAAGGTCGCTGGTTCGAGCATCGGCTGGAACAGTTGGCATTTCTGTGTGGTTTGAATGTTCTGCCCATGTTCGCGTTGGTTTCCTCAGGGTGTCCAACGACATGCGCTGTAGGTGAATTGGGTAAACTAAAGTGTTCGTATTGTATGTTTGTGAATAAGAGTGTATGGATGTTTCCCAGTGGTGGGTTGCAGCTGGAAGGGCATCCGCGGCATAAAACATATGCTGGAAAAGTTAATTACTAACTTAATAAAGGGATCAAGCCAAAAAGAAAATGAATGAATGAATGAACAAACTAACGAACGAAGGAACAAACGAACAAAGGAAGGAAGGAAGGAAGGAACGAACGAACGAATGAATTTATTCATCATTTATTATGTCAGGGCTAATATCATGCATTTTGAACTCAGCATATGTGGTCAATGAGTTTTTTCTGATTGGTTGATTAACATTAACATACTCCGTATAGCTTTTGACCATATAGAGTTCCGCATCATGTTACCAAATGATTTTTAAAGTGACTTTTTTTACACATGGTCACATTTAATTTATCTCTCACTTTCACTCTCAAAACATTGAATTAGTTTTAATACAGGCATTTAAAACCTGAAATATTCCAAAAATGTATGTATTGAGTTGGATAACAAATAGATAACACAAAAAGCTAATAGACCCCCTAACATCACAGAAATAGTGACATTTTAGAATGTGAGCTACAAACAATGTAGCTCGCCTGTCGGCTTTGTACAGGTAAAAAACAATCAGTGCTTTTCCGCCATTCAAGAGCTTGTCTCCTTTGAGCCTCTGCATTCTTCATCCCTTTTTTCAGAGGAAGAGAGAGAGACCCCCTCCCCTCAAATTGGTAATGGGGACTGTCATGCAGAAAGACTCCATTGTGTGGGCCAGGATCCTGTTTCTCCCCAGGCCTGTAATTAAGAAGGGATTGCTTGAGCAGGGATATTTAGGTGGCTGAATATAGGGTAGGGATTGCTTAGACCGCTGGGTAAACTGTCTACAAATGCATTGCTGGACCGACCCCATTCCTACAGCCTTAAAACGATAGATGTATGCGCCTAAAATGTGTATATTGAGAGAATGTACGTAGTAGCCTTTGTTAATCTCAGTGAGTTCACAGCTCAGGTTTGCTTTTCAGTGGTTTCCTTGGTGATCCCTAAAAGTGAGCTCATTTGAAGAGAGGGAAACAATAAAAAAAAAAGTGAAAAGAAACCCTTGGCCCAGAGCGTTTACTGCCAGACCTGTGATGTCAGCAGTGTGTTCTCATCTTATGGTAAATGTCAGACTTAGATCACCAAGATTTTGGCCTCTTTTTTATATTAGTGTCTAGTGGAAGGGAAAAGCAATCCAAACACTGCAAACACTTTAGTAAAGTTACTGTCAGTTAGATTAATAAGTAATGACACAAGACAATGGGGCGACGCAGTGGCGCAGTAGGTAGTTCTGTCGCCTCACAGCAAAAAAGTGGCTGGGTCAGTTGGCATTTCTCTGTGGAGTTTGCATGTTCTCCCTGTGTTCGCGTTCGCAAAATTACAACACCAACCTCATTTATGGCCGTGTTACACATTATCATCCTATGGATAATGCTTCGACTGATCTCGTTGGTCTTCAGAAGTAATTCACAACTTGGTCTTTATGGTGAATCTCTTCCAGAAATGACAGTGACTTTTTGTTTGTAAGTTTGTGGACGTTTGAGTAAATGCTGTCATGTGATGTGCATTTCCTTTCCGTTGAGCACATGAACACAATGGCAAATCAGCACTGTTTAAGAACGTGCTCAACATCGCTTAAATGTTAGCAGGTAGTTTTTAAATTTTCAGAACCGCATGGTATTGAGTTTCAGTATGGTGAACACACTAGTGGGCAGTGGCTGATATCGATTGTGTGGAAGCCAGTATCTTCTACAGTGCAGTGTAATTTGGCATTAATGTGAATTTCTCTTTTAAGTGTGACTTATTTCCAAAAAAAAAATCCACTTTAATTCTCGGGGTGCACCGATCCTGATACTTGGATCGGATATCGGCTCGATACCGAATATTTTTGCTGGATCGGCTAGAAGCACAGATGAATATTCAAGTGTAAATTCATGTTAAGTTCAGCGCTTCCCTCTGCTGCGTCTGTCAATCTTTTTTCATTCATTTACCATTCAAACTGCGTGTTGCCCTTGTTTATAACAACACAAAAAACTTTCTCTATCTGCTCCTATTAGTTTAAATAATCAGTGGAGAAATGCATTTGGTTTAGCATTAAATGGATTCATTTTGACCTGCAACAAGGAGTTCGTTGCTGTTTCTAAATCATGTTGCGCTGTGTCTGTTAGATCAGCAGATTGCATTCGCTACACTGAAGTAGAGAGGGCTATCACTTCTTCACACACAAAGTATGCTGACCTGAGATTTTAAATTAGAAAAGTCTCAATAATACATTGGACAGATCTTCAACGCACTGATTTTTCCCTTTTTGCTGCTGTTTTGGAAACGTCAGCAGATACCGGAGGGCTGCACGCTGTGTCTTAGTGATGAATCAAGCGCTTTATTTACGCATGGCTCCGCAGACGCAAAGTGCGCCGCTCCTTAAAATTTATCTTGCAAAAAGTTTCTGTTCTCTCATCCTTCCGACTGAGTTTATTCTTCCGAGGGAATACTTTCAGTGCTGCGAATAGTTTGAAAAGCCTGGCTCATTGTGATCAAAGTAGTTGATTAAATTAATCAAAGTTAAACTAACGGGTGAAATATAGATCGTCAAAAATAGAAAATAATTTAGCCAAATATGGGCTACTCTGGAACTGTGAATATTTCACTGTAATTTTATTTATAATAATATTTTATTTAACAGAGCAGTTTGTGTTTTGGCGCTGAAGCATATATGCGGACCTTGTTTTACTGCGAAATTAAGTGAGGGTATGTTTATTAAGTAAAACTGGCCTCAGACAGTTTAGTTTAGTCTGCATCAAACCTGCAGGAAAATATCAGGCTTTGCTAAAAGGCTGGTTATTTTAACAGTAATTAAGGTCAATAGTGGTAGCATATTACAGTTTGTAAAGAAAAATCTCAATATTAAAAAGGAAACATTTTCCTTTTTACAACAGATCATATAAATGTTGTAATGAATGCCCAAATAATGTAGCCTAGTTCATTAGGTCTGTTATTTTTACTAAAGAAGATGTATAATTTGAGTTTATCACCAAAACTATAGAAACTGTTTTATGTAAAAAAAAAAAAATAAATAAATAAATAATGCACATTATAGGGATCAGATCTGTATAGACTCAGGATTTTGGTATCGGGATCAGATCAGGTTCCAAAAAAATGGTATCGCTGCATCCCTATTTAATTGTGATGTTTTTTTCATAATTGTGACTGAACGTTTAAAAATTTCTCAAATTAATGTTTTTTTTTTTTTAAAAATGTATTTAAAATGCCTAATTTTTTATTAATGTATTACTTGCTAAAAATCAAGATGTGGAAAAGTTAAGAATTATATGGTCATTTTGAAATAGGTATTTTCATATATTTTGAATTTTGTGTGTGTGCATGTGTGTGGTGGTGGTGGTGGGGGCTAGGGGTTATTGCTCTAATCACTTTGTATAAATGTTGTTTGCAAATACTTATCCAATAATCAGAAACAGCTGTAAACATTTTTGCCTTTCCATAAGTCAAAATTTATGTAAAAAAAATTGTAAACCAAAAAAACATTAATTGTCTATAGATGGGGCTGCCAGTATGTTTTGGATTCGATCCAAGGATTAATATAGGTCAATAGTGTAATTATTTTCAAGTTAACTAAATATTTTGAGATTGATCAGTTTGGCTTGTAAATTGGTCACTACTATTATGATCTTGCACTGTGGACAATTAAAGTCCTGTAGACAGTGGTTCTATAGTTTATTCCCGCTCTAAACCAGCTTTAGTCCAAGGTCCCAGCCCTCCACTGCAGCCTTCAAGGAAACCTGTTAAATGTATCCTATATTTGCATTACATTCATGTAAAAGTCCATTATGTTTTCATTTTAGCTGACCTTTATTCTTTGACTGTTGTTTCCTTCAGGTTGGCAGACTGGCACACTGGCACAGATGGCAGAGGTGATGGAGAGTGTATCCACGGCAGCAGTGCCAAACAGCAGTGTGGACTGGCAGAAGAGATGCATCGCTCTGGAGACGCAGCTCATGAGGTTTCGTCTGCAAGCGGGAAATATCCGCCACCTACTTGCCGAGAGGGTAAATGAGGGGTATTATGGGTAACACAGGGTCTACAATTCGCCCACTGCATTCCAAGTTACGCTTATGCTTTCTTCATTTTCTGTACATTTTGCACTTTTACAATCATCTAACCAAAACATATATAAGTACTCTTGATTGGCCAGAACAAAAGCATTTTTTGACAGTCATCAAGACTCTTATTAGGGCAGATGTTGATGTAAACACAGTTTTCCACAGGGTTGGAATGTTTCCCGTCATTCCAACATTACACTAGCTCTTTTGGACTCATAATATAAGTATAATCATTGATCAGTTTTTGGACCCGACTTTAATATACAGAACGTGGTGTAATGATATGCATCAGTGGATTTCACTCGAATGCACTGCTGCTTCACCACAGCTCGTCTTTGTGCAGTTGATATCAACTGATTCTGTTTCTCGTTTACTTCCTTCAAAAAGTCTTTAGCCTCAGCCAGAGGGGAACAAGTTACTTAGTTTCTCCTCTCTTCTTTCTCTCTCCCTCCTTTTCTACAGTTTGGTCATGGTGCATTGACCTCAATGTTTCGTCTTGCAAGAAAAGGTTAACTGTCAAACTTGGCAGGCGGCCCTGCAGAAAAAGTCAGGGGGAAACCACTGACTCGTGTGAATGCTTGAGTGGATGTACAGGTGTGTGTGTGTGTGTGTGTGTGTGTGTGTGTGTGTGTGTGTGTGTGTGTGTGTGTGTGTGTGTGTGTGTTTGTGTGTTAGACTAGGAAAATATATCTATAATATTTAAAAGATTGGCAATGATAACTGGATTTTAAAAACTTTTTGGTAAAGTAAGTGGTGTTGTTTGCCTGTGGCCACATTGTTTCACCTGGTTGACATTGCCTTTCTTATTTCCCCCATCCACTCAATGATTTGTTGAATTACTGTTATTTTCACACTACATGACTGGTTTGGCAATGATAAAGTATGTTTAAGTTCCAAACACACACACCTGAACCAACAAATCAGTGTCCAGATTTACTTGAAAAAGACTAGAAGGTGTGTTGGAGAAGGTTTGTAGTTTTCCATGACCAAATTACACTTTGTAATTCACTTGGAACTGTCCCTCACAACTTAACAAATTGCATACATGAGCCTTGATGTTAGAAAATAAGATCAAATATGAACAGAATCAGTTAGTGTTCAGTGTACATGGTATAAAATGTTGTTATACTGTTCTGGGTGGTTGTTTACAGTCAGAATCCGGAGAGTCTGTTGTCAAGTATCTGTGATATTATGCTTCATATGTATAAGATTTTGTTTGCCTGATTTATGATCAAAACTAGCATTTCTTTTACATGTGTGGTTAAACACACTTGGTTAGTGCTACAAGGGGACCATACTTGGTAACCTTATGGCTCATTTCCACTGAGTGGTTCAAGGTAGTATGATACGGGTTGGTATACTTTTATGCCCGTTTCCACTGTCAAAAGTTACCAAAAAGTGAACAGAATCGTACCACTTTTTTAGTATCTTTTCTAAAGGGTACCGAACATAACAAAAGGGTACCAAAAGGCAGAGCAAGATGTGCAGCTGAATGCTTTTGGTTCACAGAGAATCGTCACTAGCGCATGAACAAGCCAGGAAAATGAAAACAAAGGAATCGCCATTTTTAAATACACAACTGGGACATTACACTGTTATAATACATACATATAATAACAAGTCATGGTCGACCCGAGCTCAAACAAACCTTGTCGTTGTCTTAATGAACAGCCGCAAGGCCAAGAAGAAGAGCAGAATCTGCGTGTGCCGGGTTGTTCTTATGAGGTTGTCTAAATCGGGATTGGTTTCACTTTCTCCAGAGAGCTGGTGATTGAACTTCTTGAGCTGATGATAATAACGTGTCTGTGATTATTGAAGTGCTTCTGACGTCCGATACTTTAAGAAACAGACTAACGCAAGAGTGAAGCGTGAAAAAACAAAGGAAAAGTCGAAAAACACAAACGAGCAAATGATTGTTTCAGCAACCATACAGATGAACAATCTGCTTATCTGATCTGATCATGTTAGACTATTATGATCACCTTTTGGACTATTATGAACTCAGAATGACAGAATTATTTTTTAACAAGATTTTAACGTTACATATGCCGGTGAAGAATAAAGATGAGAGGTTTATACTGAGTATATAGGTTTTGTATTGTTTATGAAGCCAAATAAAGACTAAATGTTACCATTGGTACCCTTTGCCAGTAGAGACACAAGCCTGAATAATGTGACCCATTCTGAAGCATTCCATACCGTACTGTACCACTAGGCATTAGTACTCCATTGGCAATAGAGATCCTATCAAATGTCTGTCCCATTTGAATTGAATATATTATTATTCATTTCACAAACAAAAACACTTGATTTTTCTTTTTTTTCAACTCTTAGTTTTTAAAAAAAATTCTGAGCACTCAGCACTTCACATAAAAAATGTAAGCTCAGCGTCCTAAAAAAAGCTCTTATTTAGCAAACTGAAAAAATACACTTCTCAGAAAAAAAATTATTTGGTGGATATGCAACCTGAACTTACTGTACTGTACCAACTACCAAACTGTTTCATGTTAGTAGTTGTTCTGAAAGATTAAAATGACTATAAAAATGTTTCCACCAATAAGTGCTGTAGCACCTCTTATGGCAATGCATTGCGTTGCATGTCTCTGTGAGTTGTAGTCAGACGTTTTCGATTGCAACACCACATTGAGCTAGAAGTGTTTGTATTCACATAATCGAGCAGAGTTTGTTTTATTTTTATAACTAGTGGTTTTGCTTTAGCTAAAGGTAAAATGCCTTTATAGTAAATCTAAACTTGACAGTTGCTAAAAGAGAAAACTGACTGTAATATAGGCATTAAACTGTGCCTCTTGTGGCAGCATTTAGATTGCAAAAGGCTCTTGCTTAGTAGTGAAAATTGTAGTCAGATGCTCTTCAGAACACAACACACAAAAAAGAGCTAGCATAGCTAGAAACATCTGCATCCGTGTACTTGCTCAACATATGTTTCGGGCTCATGATTAGAGGTTTTGCGCTTGTCAGTCTGAAACCTTTTCATCCATAAAAACCTTGGAGAGTCAGAACACCTTCGAACCATTTTTTCATGCATAACTTTGTCTCAATAAACACAGTGTGGAATAAACATCTTCTCACAAGGAACATATAAACAGTATCAGGCCGGTCTGTAAACCATGTGTTTACATGCTCTTTTTGATGTTAACAAGTGCGTCCAAAAGCAACAACATAAGTTTTGTTTTTCTTTTCCGTCCAAGAGGTAGGTCTGTTGTTGTGTGTGTTTTTTTCTATCTGTGGTGGTGCCATTAGGGTGTTTACTGTCCAAACACGCAGACCACAGGGACATTAAGTCTTGGACGGCTCCCAGAAGTCCTCCATCAGGTTTCTTCCCACTCTGGTCATCGCTCTAACAGCCCTTTACTCACCATGACCTCCACTTTCTCCTGCTCTCCCGTTTCTTCCAGCTTTTCTTTTGCTGGATATCAGGGCGCAGTGTCTCGTGGGTTACTTCTTGTTTTGTTGAAGAGGACAAAAGTAAGGGTTGAGAGTTTGCTGCTGTTGTCTGCTTTGAAATATTCATACACTCCTCATCTGCTTCTTTGGTCGGCTCTAGGAGTGTTTTACACATTGACCCACTTTGCAGAGGAAAAGCTCAACACAGAATTGCGTGAGGGGTGTGATCTCTTATTCTGGCATGAGGGAATACTTTTTCCATTCTGTTCACGTACACATGTCCTTTAGTTGTAAAATTTGTTCCACGAGATAAAAATTGCGCAAGCAGACTATTTTTGAATAGCACACTATCATACTGTGCATAATATATCTGCTAACACTTTACTTATAGGGGTGTTCATAAGACTCCTCTATAATCACAACATGATTGCATGCATATGCATGAGATTGTTTGTATCCTTATGACAACTGTCATTCAGTGTCATTGGAGTTCACACTTAGCTGATGATTGATAATAAAGCGTATCTGGCATGCTGTCCCAGGAGAGAGCCCTAAGCTCAAAATATTCTCAAGCCCGGGGCTCCCTCCGAGAGAAGAGTTTGGGCTCAGGTAGGTCTCGAGAACTCCCCTGTTTGTGTACATGCTGAGATATACAGTATCTGGCTAAGAGTTTTTTTAAGTAGTGAATTTACTTATGGTGCATGTTTTTGGATGGTGGAAGGAAACAGGGAAACCCAGGCAAAACCCACGCGAACATGGGGAGAACATGCAAACTCTGCACAAAAATGCTGACTGGCTTGGAAAGGGGCCGAACCTGTGGTGTTCTTGCTGTGAGGCAACAGTGCTGGGCCGCCGTGCCACCCTATTAGAGAAGAGGAGGAGTAGGGGTTGAAGAGGGGATTCTTCAAGACGAACATGACTGGAGTAGAAAGCTCTGGTTAATTATAGCATGTCAATTTACATCTAATTGGTGCAATATATGGAGCTGATGTGGTAACAGCTGTGTTTAATGATACGCATGTGATCGTCTCGAAATGAGTTTATAAATAAGCCATGCTCAAATGCAAAGATGACATTGTTTAAGATGTTTGTTGTGACAACTTAACCAAAATAACATAATTTGTCATGAATTTGTCTTAAGTCCAATATTTTTTTTGCTCATCTTTTACAGTCCAGCACAATTAATTTGCAATTAAATTTTCTTATTAAATAGTGATAAATAATTTTATAACTATGTCATAACAATAGTATAACCATATATAGTCATAGTTATGATAAAACCATTATATTTAATGGCAATTTTATTGACAGGCAAGTTGTATCACTGAAGTTGAGGTCAAGAAAAATATAAATCACACTCTTATAAAGCTCATGACACAATTATAATGGCCTCATGACAATCATGTTTATGAGAGATTTATGACAAGGTATGTTGTTGAAATTTTAAGTTGTCATGACAAAGATACTTACAGCTTATGACAACATAGCATAATTCTGAAAACGTAGCCCTATATACATTTGTTGACATCGCGAATTATGTA